TTTCCGTCGCGACCGTTGAGCACTCCACGTCACCAGGGTTCTTTTGTTGTGTTGCTTGCTTCTCGTGGATCGTGGTTGCCATCTTCAAGTTATCCGGCTGAGTTCTACTCTGGTCGAGGATTTGTCCAACTGAGTTTTTGTCTGGCTCGGAGTTTGGTCCGCTCCAATTGTGAATGTGTTTGGGCTTTTGATCATGAGTCTCACTGCTTCTTTTTCTATGTCACGGATGCGACAATCGTTTTGTTGGCCACTAAGGGAGAGCTTAAACCATGCTTATCAAAGGAGGTCATTCGAGAAGGTTGATGATGGGGGGACAAAAAACAGCAAGGTGACAGTGCTTCCGGAACAGCACCGCCTAAATTACTGACATGTCCAGTACATGAGATGATTCCTTTGGAGGTAACTGGTCAAACCTCTTCTCCCTTTCCGATGACTGGTAAAATCGGGATGCTTCTTTTCGAGGTGAATGGACAAATCTCTTCTTTCTTCCCGGTGGCTGGTAAAACAAGGATGCTTTCTTTGGATGTGAATGAACAAATCTCTTCTCCTTTCCCGGTGGCTCGTAAAACCGAGACGCTTGATTTATTTTGTTTTTTTATTTAAAGAATTCTTGTTTAGTGATCTCTCATTTTAGTAGCAAGTTCAGCGATGTATTAGATTATACTACCATGATGCGGGGTTAACGAATTTAAGAGGTCCACAGAGGCTAGTAAATTATATGTCTCACCCCAATGTAACCTTGAGTTATTGTATTACTTTGTCTCTTATTACTATCGTTATTAATAATAATTAAGTCTTCTTCTTTCGAAAAAACAAAATATATCAATACAAACTTAGACAAAGAGTAATTTATAGTAGCCCAAATCACACGAGATCAAATAACATACGACCTATTCATACTCAAATACACCAAACCTACGGAATTCAACATGAATGTGTAATTCGCCATTTACTTTAAGATCAACTAAGGATGTTTTAACTTACACCGAAATTTGCTGGTCTGGTATGATCGATCTGTTTAAGTTTTGTCTGATATGATCTGATCTGGTAAATGTTTGATCTGTTTGTATTTTAAAATTATGAAAGTCTGCTCTGATGTGATTTGTTTAAGTCTAATCTAGTCTAATTTGGGACAGAAAACGTAAAAACATCCTAATCCATCAATTTCATTATTAGGATGTTTTTACTTGGATTGTAATTTGCTGGTCTGGTCTTGTAACACTGACCCCGAGCATATTTACTTTTAGTAAATTATGTAATAAACCTCGAAAGATGATTTATGAATTTGCGTAATTGTAAATTTTTATTATTTCTTTTACGTGAATAGTAAATTGCATGTGGGGCCCACAGCGGGACGGGGACCGCCCGATAATTCCCGAACCACATATTATATTCATCTTGGTCTAGATAATATGTATATGGTGGTGGATATTTTATTTGGGCCATAAGAAAGGCATGGGGTTGACCGGTTGGTCAAACGGGGCCCAATTACCGGTATTGGTAATTTAACGGATAACAGCCCGAAATGAATTTCGGAGACTCCTAAATTAGTGTTGGGGAATGTACATCTATTCTAAAGGCCCATAATTATTAGGAACATGTGATATATTTTATTTGGCCCGATAAAATAAAATATAATTAAAACGGACCGAGAAATACAACTTTCGGGACCAATTGTACACACAGAGACATAACGGGATGACCTCCCACCTAAGTGGGGGCCACCCCACGTTCCTTGAGACTCCAGCAGACAAGGGAGGAGCTGGAGGAGACCATGGAAAGTGTGTGTGTGCGGAGTCATTAAGTGAGGGGATGGCATGAGTCAAAATTGCCATTTTTAGGACCCTACTCATGCATTATTTTACTTGATTGAGTAGATGTGCCTCCCCCCTTCCCATTCCACTCATTCAGCCAACACAAGAGGAGAGAGAAGGGCTCCAAGAAGCTATCTCAGCAGGCCATAGTTGGAGAAAGCTATGAAGAAGAAATCCTAGGAGAAAACTAGCTAAGAAGAAGGTAAGAACTCATCTACCCTCTTTTAACTAGTTTTATCATGTATGATTTGTAAGAAATCATATGGTGGATTAAACATGATGTTTTACACGTTTAAAAGTGTGGAATATTGTTACAAAGTGGTGGTAATTAACTTAGAAGGGTTGACAAATCGATAGGAGTCGAAACCGCCGGAAACCGCCACTCCAAAGGAGCTGTTCGTAGCTGCAGACTACCAAAAGCCGCCCGGCTTTCGTGAAAGCCGCCCGGCTTTCGTGAAAGCCGCCCGGCTTTTGCCCAGGCAGTCCGGTTTTTGCCTTTCATCGGTTTAAAACGAGGATTTATCGGGAAGCTCAGCAAAGGCAACTATTTCAGCACATCATAAGGTGAGGATGGCTGACTATATTGCTTATAATTAGTGAGTTAATTTCATTGATTACCGAAGGTAATTAAATGTGTTTTTATGGATTATTAATGATTAATAATGCCTAAAAATGAAAAGACTAAATGTCTAGAGAAAAAGGAGCATGATATACAAATTTAAGAGTAAATTGTGTATGTTCATGTGTTATGAGTATGTTGCCTTGAAAGTGGAATTTATTATGAATCATATGTTGAAATATACTTTTTCTTCATATTAGAATATATGAGTGATTAAAAGTGATATTTTGAATATTGAGATAAATGATATTTGCAAAGGAAAATCAGTTGGAATTGTCTATATGACTACGAGTTGAGAACTTGGTTTGTTGATATTAATTTGACTAGTATTAAGATACTAGTTGGACATTAAAATGAAATGTTGTTAAGATTGATCCTAAGGTTGGATTGTGAAATGTTATGCCTTAAGTAGTCTTAAGAGATGCTTTAAGGTAGGAAAATATGAACTCTAAGTTATACTAGGGGTAGGCCTTAAGGGATACCCAAGATAAAGTAAATAATAAATTGATCCTAAGTATAGGATTGGCCTACGGGTGTGTTCGGTAGTCCTTGTGGATGATCGGTTGAATTATGGATATAGTAAGGACCATGGCCCTTCCCGACTCTAGAGAGCGGGGTTGGATAGCATGGACTTACATCGTGATCACGGGTTAGGGTGGAATCCGAATCGGAGACCTAACTAGGTTCCGGTAGCGGTAACACATAAGATAGGACCCCGAAGGGCCTTACCTTCCTACGGGATGATGGGTACGAGTCCAGGGGCGGGATGTTGGAGTCCGAACCGGGAGCCCCATGAGGTCTCGGACAGCGGTAGCAAGTCCCGTAGAAATAATAAGACCCAAGGGTTGGGTTGTGCAAATGATAAATGAAAGGAACATATAAGAAGGGCCGTGTGCCGACAAATAAATAAATTTACTTATTATAAAGATAATAAGTGGGAAATATAAAATATTATTTATATTATGATATCACCCTATTTTGAGGGTCTTGGGAATTAAAACGTTGATTATACTTAGTATAGTTGCTATTGTACTTGTCAAATATTTCCAAGTACTGACCTCCCCTTCACGGGGGAGGCCACCTCACAGTTGCAGGTAGGACTTGAAGGTTGCTACCGGTGCCCGTTGCTCGGGATATTCAGAGAAGAAGACGTGGTTCGTGCTTCTTCTGTTTCCTGTTTTTAAAAAAATTATAACAATGCTCATGGATGCTATTTTCTGAATAATTACTTTGGGGGCTTGTATGTCTAGTTATGCCAAGTGTGGCTTGAACAATTGTATTAATGCTTCCGCTGTTTTAAATGAATGTTTTACATTATGTTTGTTTATGGATGTACTATGTGTGAATGATATTCATGACGCCTTGTATAGTATGGATGAGTTGGACTGCGGTTGACTATTCGTACTGTACGGCGGGTTGTTGACGTGTCCGGCTAGGTCCGGGGCGTGACAGGTCTGGTCTGTTTAAGTCTGGTCTGGTCTGAACTGGTTTGGTCTGGTCTAATAAACGTCTGGTCTCTGTGTATTTTACAACTACGTAAGTCAAGTCTGGTCAGGTCTGTTAAAGTCCGGTCGGGTCTGTTTAAGTCTGGTCTAATCAAGTCTGGTCTGGTCTCATCTGAGACTGAAAACTATCCAAGAAAAAACATCCTCACCTTCATAGTCTCCTTTCTCTCATCAATGGCAAAACAAACATGCTCCCTCCGTCCCGAAAAGGTTGGCCAAAGTTGACTTTCACGTGGATTAATAAAGTAAAAAATGTGTGGTTGAAATTTGTGCAGAAGTTAGAGAAAAATTAATTTTAGCCACATATTCCTTACTTTAAATGGAAATAACAAATCTTTTTGGGACATCCAAAAATGAAAATTTGGCCAACCTTTTCGCGACGGAGGGAGTACTTTTTATAACAAATACGACAAATTATATCCTACGACCGGCGCACCATGAGGATGGTGTGCCCGGTCCAAAACGACACAGTATCGCGATCTTTCCCTTCCCTACCCGTCTGTCGCCACCTCGGCCTCTAGGCCTCCGCCTCCTCGTTGTCCCCTCAGTCTCTAGGTCGTCACCCCAGCCTCCGATTTGTCTCCTCCGCCAGGTCGCCGCACCTCCAGGTCGTTGCATCCACCTCCATGTCGCCACCGTTAGCTAGCTATTCTTCTTCTTATTCATATTCTGTCCAATCCGAGGTGAAGGGTGAGGCCGGATGAACAAATGGATGAAGGTTAGGTTTGGAGCTAGAGAGGGGAAATGGTGCGCTGTGTCGGAGGTATCTCATCCAGGATAGATTGGGGTTGGGAGGGGTGGATTGGGGGCTGGTTTGAGTTTAGTCATATGTGGAATTGGGAAAGGTGGTTGCGGCCGGTGCAGGGGCTGGGGGCTGGTGGAGTTGAAGATGACTATTATCAATTATTTTATATCTTTCTCAATGTACATGTTGGGTACACTTAAGTTAAATCAAGATTTGCCTAAAGTTGTTTACAAGTTACATCTAACTTGTTTACAAGTTACATTTCAACTAAAACAATTTACATTTCAATGAGTTACATGTGAATGCGTGTAATTTACATTTGGATTAACCTAAAGTTTCATATGGATTCACACGAATTACATTTCATATAACCTGAGAGCATGATGCTTACCCTGCACCGCTCCCACAATATAACGCCTCTGATCAAATACGAGTATTCTTTAATAGGGAATAATTTCATTTCTCTCTCATAAACAACTTTCAATTATACAATTCTCACTTTAATTTGAGTTATTAATTAATTAATGGGGCTAAACGAGAATTAGAAGGAATATTGTGTGTAAAAGACAGCCTTTTTCCTTTGTTAACTTTAAAGGTTGTTTTAAAATTAATAAACAAAAAGGGAAAACTTTAAACTTTGTAAACTTTAGTTTTTTCCCGTAAAAAAATAAAAGGGTTTTGCCCCTTTTTGTGATAACTTTAAAAGCCCTAAAACGAGAATTTACGGAATAGCGAGTAAATAAAATTACCCAATTCCTACCCCTTCCACAAGCCATTTGCAGTGCGCAATACAAATACCTCACGCCTCCATTCTTGAACTTTCCCATACCCAAAAATCACCTACTTTCCCTCTCTTAATAGAAAAGACTCCCCCTTTCTACTAGAAAACCCTTTCAAACTGGCGATCGACAATCAAGAGACCGCCGTCAAGGAAATCAAGCTCGCCAAGAGCAAGAGAAACATCATGGTAAGCTATTTAATTTCATTGCAATGTGATTCTTCAATGTCCGTACTCTGCTGTTCAAATGTCGTCTAAAGGTCAGTTCTTGACAGGAGGGAGGCCTTGATGATGATGACAAGAGATGGCCGCCATGGTTAAAGCCTATGCTTAAAGAACGGTTCTTTGTCCAATGCGAACTCCACCACGATTCGCACAAGTCAGAATGCAATATGTACTGCCTTGACTGTTTCTATGCCGGCGCTCTCTGTTCTCTCTGTCTAGCTGATCATACACACCACCGTTCGATTCAGGTAGAGTTTCTTCTTCTCTGATTAAATCTGAGTGTTTTTGGTGTCTTTTTCTAATGGGGGGATTTGGAATGCGCAGATAAGGAGATCTTCGTACCACGATGTGATCAGAGTGAATGAGATTCAGAAGTATTTGGACATCTCTGCAGTGCAGACATACATTATAAACAGCGCAAAGGTTGTTTTCTTGAATGAGCGGCCTCAGCCCAGTAGCAGGCCTGGAAAGGGGGTCAACCATACCTGCGATGTCTGCGAACGCAGTCTTCCAGATTCGTTCAGTTTCTGCTCTCTGGCCTGCAAGGTAAGGCCAATCCGATTCCCAGATTTTGAACCCAAAATTGAAATTTCAAGAACTGCTCTCTTAATTTCTTTTGATTTCTTTTGATTTAGTATCAGCATTTTGATGAAATTCGATGGTTTCAGATTGTTGGGTCATCGAGGGATTTCGTGAAGAAGGCGAAGCGTTTGCCGGAGAAGAAGAAGAAGTCGGCGTCGGACTCCGACGTTGACTCCGACGACCGCGGCTTTTACCACGGTCGGCCGCACTGTAGAAACGTCCAGAGCTTCACGCCGTCAACGCCGCCCCCAACTTCCGTGAACTGTAATTACAGAAATGCCAAGCGAAGAAAGGGAATTCCTCATCGAGCCCCAATGGGCGGACTCATCGTGGTAGAATACTAGCCATGTTTTTGCTCATATGCCCTTGTTCTTCTCTAAATTTCGCGTAACCACCCTACATTATAATTATCACTCCACCGCCCCAGTTCTTGGGAATTTCTACAACTTCCCAACCTCTTGAGGAGCATGTTGTAAATACTAGCTACAAATGGGAAACATTGAAAGTTTTTGTTACGTTTGGAAATATATATGTATAAAATATATAGGGTAGAATCTGGAATAAGGAATCATTGGGGGAGCAAAGCGTAATGTGATAAAGTAGGTGGGCTTTTAAGAAAATATTAGGTGTTCTGTTTCATGGAAATGAAAATAATGCTCTTCCCTATATTTGATCCATATTGCAAGTTGATAATAATGACATATGAAGATAATGGAGTGGTTATTGACACATGTATGATGTATCAGCTATCTATATTGTCTGTATGGAAAAATGTATATACCCACTTTGTGAGTTTTTTTTTATAAATAAAACACAATAATGGAATGGCCATATTAGTTATTATTTCATTTTCTATCTCTTATTTAATTTCCCTTTTATTGAAGTTCAATGATACAAGTTTTCCTTGTAATGGTGATGTGTATTGTTTCAACAGGACTCTCTCATGCACCGTTTGTGTTGCCAACTTATTTCTGCCAACACGGTCTTTAATTGCACAATCTTTTTTCTTAATTATTTTATTAATTAGGCTTAATAAAATATATTTTGTCTTTCTTATCTTTTTACCTTTCTTATTATTCTCTTACCTTTTTTTGCTCCAATTAAAATTTGGATTCATATTTTTTCATACTATTAAAGCTTGGTGGTTATTGTAGGCTTAACAAAATATTAAGGGCATATGAAAATATGAAATAATTATGTTGACTTTAGAGAACGCATCATAATGTTCGTGGGCATTTTAAAAAGTGATTATTATTCCATCTTAGACGATTGAAGAATTTACACAGCTCATCACAAAAGAAAGTGAGGACCCCTCCTATCTTAGAAGATTAGTGAATCTACATGGCTTATCACTATTCAAGACATTGTCCTAATAATTCTGTTTTTGATGCCATATACTACTTCATAGCCAAGTTTCTTCACATTTTGATTTGAAATACTTACCAAAAACTTCTAAATTGTGGGTTTTTAGAAAGAAAAAAGTCATTTGCACAAGTATCCTACTCCCTACGTTTCAGTTTGTTTGACACACTTTCCATTTTTGGATGTTTCAAAGTGAATGTCACACTTCCTTATTTCCTTATTTGGTAAATGAATCTTTACCAAAATAGTGCAAAATAGTGACGAATAGTATTCAAACAGCGTCAAACAGCGTTTAAACAGTGCCAAACAGTGTACTCTACTGTAAAATTTACCCTCAGTAACATTTTTCCCTTAATTCTTAACAAGTCAAAGTGTGTAAACAAATGGAAACGGAGGGAGTATGTAGGATTCCTACAATTTCTTAAAATCTTGGATTAAAGAATATAGAACTTTATGAAAATTTTGTATACAATATATGTGCCATAGACAAAATGTAAAAATTAAATGTGTGCTCAAAAAATGGATATTTCATAAAAACAATCACACGTATACAATATTAATCCATGATTCTATTTGAAAATTAAAAAAATGAATATGGCATTATGGCATATTTTATGGTAAATCACATGTATACAATATTAATCCATGATTCTATAAAAAAGGGCTTATAACAGTACTAGGCGGAAAGTCAAAATTAATTATTCAATTAGACATAAAAATAATCGTTCTTGCTCGGACGTGAGCCGTTTATTTTTACTGATCTTTTGCACCAAATAATTGACATATTGGCATTTTCCCTCAAAAATCATTCCCATTTGTGAATCATCTGACTCATGCTATTCCAAAAAATTTCATGCTATTCCTTTTTTTTTGTTTTCTTGCAAGGAATGTAGTGTGTAAATTATTTTTATATGTAATCAAACAAAACAATTAATTATTTTGGTTAACAGGTGTCAATGTGGAGGCACAAAACATATAATTGTATGAACAAAAATTCATTCGATTATTTTTATTCAACATCCTAATATTTCTTTTCCAATCTTTTGATTTTTTTTGTCAGCACCAAGCTTTCAGGAGTCCATATTTTCCAATTTTTCAACACTTTTCAATGTACAAAGCCCCGAGGTAATTTGAATATGATAATAACTGACAATATCCAACAAATGCACAAAAATCTGTGTTTTAAGGTGGAATTAAAAGATACATAAAGACAAAAAGAAATTATTACTTTTCACCAGATTTACGAAAATGCCACCCATCCAAACATTCAAATAAAATACTCTTCGTTCCTTAAAACTTTGTCAACTTTCATTTTATGGATGTCCTACTAACTTTCACACTTTCCCTTTTAAGTAAAGAATTTACGGTTTCAGTTAATTCTATCTCTTCTGCACAAATCCTTACCACACAGTTTTTACTTTATTAATCTCCGTGTCGGTCAAACTTGGCAAAGTTTTAAGGGACATATGTAGTACAATGTAGTTTGCTCCATCTATATAGAATTCAAAAATTCCTTTTATACACCTTCTTATACACATCGGTACACCCCGTATGTGTGAGAGTTTTTTTTTTGCCTGTGAATCCTAATCCACAGACATAAGCTGGTTTGTTTTGTCTGTAGAATTTTTCATAGACAAAACAAACCAGTTTTTGTCTGTGAACTGGGATTCACAGACAAAAAAAAACCTTTCACAGACACGAGAGTATACTGATATGTATAAGAAGATGTACACTCAAAATTGTTGGTATAGAATTATAGACACGCACATGTGAAAAACTCTTGGTTTCTTTTGTCAACTCTTTTTTCCACTCATAAATGAAAGAGATATTACCCGAAATAGGACTAAAAGAGTTTGAAAATTCCAAAATAGGATTGCTACGTTTTTATTCCCAAAATAGGACTAATTACTGTCATATTTTGGCAATACCAGACTTCAAACATGTTAGTATTTTTTAAATATGTCAGTAATTAGTCTTGTTTTGGAAATAAAAAACATGACAGTCTTATTTTAAACTTTTGAAAATGTTTTAGTCCTATATCGGGATCTTTCCCTAAATGAAAATATGAAACAATTTAGCAAACTTAAGAAGGTTAATAATGAAAAAAATTGCAAAACTTTAGAGAGTAATTGTTTGTTCTGGAAGTGTTGACCAGTTACGGAGGTTACCAGGAATCGGGAACGGGGTGGGGCCAGGCGCGGTAGAGGTTAGCCAGACGTCGCCGTCCATTCCACGTGGGTGATTAGTATTGGCTCTTTAAAAGCTAAGTGTCTCGATTCATGTATCCGGAAACTAGGGTTAGCCGCCTCGGGAAATAATGCAGTACATTTTACTCGGTGGAGGCTTTTTCTTTTTTGTTAGTGGGGTTTTGGGACGATTTCCACCGCACGATTCTAATCCAACGGCGCTAGTTGATGCTTAATGGACTCGTGTCCTTTGAGTGGGTTGACTAACAGAGAAGGAGACGGGGGGTCGCCGTCTCTTATACCCCATCCTCTTTTTTTGATAAGATCAAATTAATTCTTTCATTATAAATGTTTTGAATAAATAAAAATGTACAAAAAAATAGGGAGTATAACCTATGAGTCGTTCTTTTTATACCCACTTTGGTATACACATTTATACTCAGCCCTTTATTTTATCTGTGTGCACAGACAAACACAGACAAAATGACGTCTGTTCTAAATGAACTACATGTCTACACTAGCAAAATAAGAGGTGAGTACAAAAGTGAGTACACATAAAATTTTTTTTGACTTAGATGCCTTGGGTAAATAAACGAGCATTAAATGCAATGTACGGAGTAAGACTCATCTTAAGCATGTGAAAAAGTTATAGGAGCATCATCCGTCCACATTATCTTAGACGTGAAAAAGTTCCCCAATATCATTTTTTGTCCAAGTTGTTTTGTTGAGCCGTCCACAAAAGCAATTTGACATATTCTCATTGGAAAAGTATATTGAAAAATAATTGTTATTATAATTAATAATAATGAATCCGATTTTGTATTTTAAAGTCAATTACTAGACGACGAAACCAACTACGTAGTAATATAATGCAATTGTGTTCATTTCGATAGTGTGCTTCCTCGTTTTCAAATAAACTCCCGATCTTAATTGGATTACTCCCTCCGTCCCGGAAAGTTAGTCTCATTTTCCTTTTTGGGACGTCCTAAAAAAATTGTCCACTTACTAAATAAGAAAATGTTTTTTTAATTAAAAACTCATTTTACCCCTCCTTATTCTTTACCCTCCCACCCTTATCCTTATCCTTTTCACTTATTCGCTCTCCCACCTTCTGTCGTTACCACTTTCGCAGCACCATTCCCACCCACTTTCCTCTCACTCCTTCATTACTCCACTTCCGCAGCACCATTCCCACCTCTCTTACACTATTCCGGCCATTTGTCCTCCCTTTCTTGCACTCCTCAGTTCGTTGAACTTTATTTCCTTCTCTGATTTCATTTCCAGTTTAACCCTATGTTATCTGTTGATCTAACCGTCTATCCTAAAATCAAATCCCTAAATCTGATTACCATGGAAGATCTACCTACATGCAATGAATGCATGGCGGATCTGGTGGTTTCGGATAGCGTTTTGGGATCCCAGATCGAAGACAGTGAAGGTCCGGATAAGCCTGTGGTTCCGAACAGTGAAGATGTGTCAGAGGAGGTGGACGGTGGAGCTATGATGACTTTATTGGTTCCGGACAGTGAAGAGGAGGCAGAGGAGGAGGTCGGTGGAGGTGCGGTGGAGGTTCAGCTTCCGAACAGTGATGCTTGGGCTAAAATAAAGAAGGATGTTCGAATGCAGTACATTCGTTATCCTGGTCTAGAGGACTTCTTAAAACTCATCCTACCCGGCTGGGAATCGAGGATGTGGGACGTTAACGCCTAACAGGGGAGTTTGTTTCTTTATCTGTTTTGCATTGCAAATTTGTATGTTGGTATTGTTTCGGAAATTTGTGTTACCTGTATGTTATGTGTGTACATGTATTTGATTTTAGGGTAGCAATGATGATTATATGGTGTTCTTATATGTATGACTGAATGGTAAGGGTTATGTGAGGCTGCTATGATGACCTTATTGGTCTGAGCTTTGTTGCCTGCTATGATGACCTTATTGGTCTGAGCTTTGTTGCCTGCTATGATGACCTTATTGGTCTGAGCTTTGTTGCCTGCTATGATGACCTTATTGGTCTGAGCTTTGTTGCCTGCTATGATGATCTTATTGGTCTGAGCTTTGTTGCCTGCTATGATGACCTTATTGGTCTGAGCTTTGTTGCCTGCTATGATGACCTTATTGGTCTGAGCTTTGTTGGTTGCTATGAGGCTGTTACAATGACCTTATTGGTATGAGCTTTGTTGGTGTCTATGAGGCTGCTATGATGACCTTATTGGTCTGAACATTGTTTTGTGTGAGGCTGCTATGATGACAATATAGTCTGAGCATTGATTTGTCTGAGGTTGCTATACTGAATAAGAGAGCCATAAAGCTTGAGAAAGGTGTCTG